ACTTCAGACAAGAGGAAATGAAACCACTACTCTCTGGCCTATAACCATAGGTAGGCAAATGTCCTCAGAGTTCCTTAATGTACAGCACTATGAGTGGTTAAACTTAGAATAGGGCTTTTTTTCTTCTTTTGTTTTTGTTTTTTTTTTAAGATTTTTTTTATTGAACTTTTTTAAAATTTATTTTTTAATTTATTTTAATTTGACCAGAGAGAGACAGAGAGAGAGAGAAGCTGCTGCCAGGTCCAGGACTCAAACTATGGCCGGCCATATGGGAGTCCAGTGCCCTTAACCACCATGCCACCTGCCAACCCCCATAGGGGTTCATTTTAATTAAGAAGTAGGCTGAGGGGCCAGCAGGTGGTGTAGTGGTTAAGGTGCTGGACTCCCACATGGCTGACCACAGTTCAAGTCTCAGACCTCGTGGCTTGCTTTCTCACTTTCTCTCTCTTTCTTTCTGTCTCTGTTTTAACAAAAATAAAAAAATAATAAAATAACTCTAAAAAATAGAAGTATGCTGAGGAAGAAAGAAGCAAAACATTTAAGGGACACAAAAATGGAAAATTATCTGTTGATGACAACATGTATGATATCTTTAACTAGACTAATATATGGTATATTTGTGCTATTGCTTTCTCACTTTCTCTCTCTTTCTTTCTGTCTCTGTTTTAACAAAAATAAAAAAATAATAAAATAACTCTAAAAAATAGAAGTATGCTGAGGAAGAAAGAAGCAAAACATTTAAGGGACACAAAAATGGAAAATTATCTGTTGATGACAACATGTATGATATCTTTAACTAGACTAATATATGGTATATTTGTGCTAGGAAAACTCATTTTATAAGCTTTAATGATATATAGTGATTGAATGTATAAATAAATAAACAAACAAAACCCTGGAAAGACAAAATAGACTTTCTCACCAACAGTCTCCAAGTACAGCTTATTTAAAATAAAACTACTCCCACACTCTCCCACTCATCCCAGACTGAGACAGATCTTGTGCCTGTTACTCACTTTTTTTTTTCCTACTCCTAATTGTAATTCAGGAGATAAGAAAGAAAATATTATACAAACTCCTGGTATTCAATATCTAGCCAGAGCAATAAAAACAGCAAATAAATGAGATGTATTAGATAAATGAGTAAGAAAGAGACACTATTTGGTGATCATCTGACATGTGATGTCAGATCATCTCAAAAGATCAGGGGGTCACAGAATCATGCCACTCTGCCCCTTTCTGATAGGAAGTCAACTTATTACAACCTAAGTTACATCAGAAGCTAAGTGGCTGGTTGAAAAGAAAGAATAGATCAACTGGTTTTATTTTTTACAGTCCACTACTTGTCCTAGGTCCCCTGCCTTGAGGTACAACTTTCTCATCTCTCATCACTCCTGAGGCAAGTAACCATTCTTTGCAAAGTATGTAGGGACATGACATTTCCCAGGAAGCCTTTAATCAAGGAGACAGGAACCAAGGTGTGGAGTCCTGTGTATGACAACTAGAGAAATCAACATTTCAGAACATAAGGGAACCTCACAAGGACGTTTGTGTCTGCTCACTTAGAAAGTGAAAGGCAGGGCTGAGAGGCTGAGCATACCCACAACCACCCTTCAGGAGTCTCCAGAACATGAGAGACTTGATCTAAGGAGGTCAGTGGAGTAAGGACTGAGCCTCTGATGAATATCAAAATGATGACTAAATGAGGAATGAGGGACACCCATCCAGAACAGTGAGGTCCCATAGGGTTCCACCCTGGCTGTCAGCTCTTAGAGGTATGGAACAGTCATGGCTGGATTTGGCTCACCGTAAGTCTATCTCCAAGATCCTAGGAAGGTGGAAATCTTGTTCTTAGATTAGTAACCTCTGGTCTGCTAAGCGTGGAGTCCCTGCACCAGTCAGGTGTCAAGGTGATGAATTATAGAGAGAACCACTCATACAAGAACAGAAGAAGCACCCCAAAGTTCCCTCTTTTCCTCCTCCTCTTCTTCCACTTCCCTTGTGACCTGGGAGACCCAAGCAGAGTTTTCAGGTTAAGAAGACCCTCATTTCTTCCTGGATGGTCTCAAGGAGAGGAGGGTCTTGGTCTAGTAGAGGTGGCTCCAGTTCTGCAGATACCCGAGAACCAATAGGGGTCAAGGTGAGGATTTTGTGTGACAAGAGAGCATTGCCACACAATCCACCTCTCAGCTCTTAGTCCTTCAAGACTGAGCAGAGTTCAGCTCAAGATTCCTTCATTTCTGCCTGGAAGGAGTAAGGAAAGGAGTGAGTCTGTCTAAGGAAGGCAGTCCCAGTTTCACTGTTGGAGGAGATACCAGCCCTAACTGGAGTCTGGGTGAGGACCTTAGTACTAATGAGAAGAGTTTTCTCCAAAACAGGGTGCCAACTAGACCCCTGTTCTTTTTCTCAGACCTGGGAGCCCTTGGCAGAGTTAGACGCATGTAGTGTGCCCTGAATTTCACATCAAGGAGAGCATATCATTGGTCTTAGTTCAGTATAGGAAGTCCTATGTTAAGTTGACATCCGTGGCTTCTCGTAGAGTTCCTCCCCTGTTGTCGGCCCTAGGAGACCCCACACAGCCTTGACCGGATGTGGGTCATGGACTTCCGGGAAGGTGAAGACGTTGGTTTCACCTTTACGACCACGGGACTCATCAGGCATCAAGGTAATGATTTTGAATGTGAACTGAAGGGACCACCTACACATAACCAACAGGGCCCCCTAAAAGTCCTGCCTTACCATCATGGAAGAGCCATAGCACAGCTGTTGGCTTTATTCATGTGTGGAGAGAATCAGAGGGGAGAACTTTGGTCTAAGGGAGGAGACCTAGGCCCTAACTAGAGTACCGATGAAACCACAAGTGCTAATAAGAGTGTGTCTCTCCCAAGAGGGAGCTGATCAGAGCCACACCCTTTCTGTCAGGACTCGGAACCCCAAGCAGGGTAGCTAGTGGTAGTACACCGGAATTTCCTCTCTAGCAACTCAGGGAAGTGACGCGGGTCACTGGGCGCACGGCTGGTAGTCTTACTTCAGTAGAGGAAGTCCCAAGCCAGGATTGATATCCGTGGTGTCCCATGGAGTTCTGCCTCTACTGTCAGCCTTGGGAGGCCCTGAACAACCATGACCAGATATTGGTCTTTTAGACTTCTGTCTCCATGGTACCAGCAGTTAGCGCAATGGCTATGTCGCTGGACTCCCACGTAAGTCGACCGCAGTTTGCGTCCCGGACCCGGTGGCTTAAAACTCACACCGGGTGCATGTGTGGGCGTGCCCAGGATCCCGCGAGGAGAGTGGGG